GTGAGGGGAGCCCGCGTGTGGGGGGAGCCCGCGTGTGAGGGGAGCCCGCGTGTGAGGGGAGCCCGCGTGTGAGGGGAGCCCCCGTGTGAGGGGAAGCCCGTGTGTGAGGGGAGCCCGCCTGTGAGGGGAGCCTGCGTGTGGGGGGCGCCCGCGTGTGGGGGGAGCCCCCGTGTAAGGTGAGCGCGCATGTGTGGGGAGCCCTCGTGTGAGGGGAGCCTGCCCGTCAGGGGCACCTGCGTGTCAGGGGCGCTTGTGAGGGGCTCTCCATGCAAGGCTTTGTGTTGGGCCACCGGGACAGGGACACGTCAAGCTGGTGTCCCTGGGCGCAGGGCAGGCACTCTCTGGGAATTGATCCCTTCTGCCATCAAGTTTAGAGAAGCCCGGCTGCACAGTGTTTTTTTTCCTTTTTCTTTTTTTTTTTTTTTTGGTGGGGATAGGGTTGAAAATAATTTCCCAAGTGGAAGCATATTAAATATATCACTATTTTGGCCGGGCGTGGTGGCTCATGCCTGTACTGCCAGCACTTTGGGAGCCCGAGGCCCCGGATCACCTGAGGTCAGGAGTTTGAGACCAGCCTGGTCAACATGGTGAAGCCCTGTCTCTACTAAAAATACAGGAAAAAAAATTAGCTGGCTGTGGTGGCTCACTCCTGTGATCCTAGCTGCTGGAGAGGCTGAGGCAGGAGAATCGCTTGAACCCGGGGGCCGGGGAGGTTGCTGTGAGCTGGGATCAGGCCACTGCGCCCCAGCCTCGGCGACAGAGCAAGACTCCGTCTCAAAAAAAAAAAAAGAAATTGGCCTGACACTTCAGCCACGGGCACTACCATCTGAGCCTCCTCTAGCTGGGCACACGGTGGCGCTCCACCAGCAAACCCAGGAAGCCGATCCCATCAAGCCCCAGCTCCCAGGCTGCCCGGAGCATGCCCCAGTCCTGGAGCATCTTGCCTGCCCTGGGTTTTAGGGAAAGTGAAGCTCCAGTCACTTCCCCCTGAGGACAGGCTAGGAGCTCATCCAAACCGGGCCTTCGTTTAGGCCTCTGGATAGTCAGAGTTCCTGTAGGTGGCAACATTAAAGGGCAAAGTCAGAAGTGATCACTGACAGCCCATCCCCCTGCCAAGGAGTGACAGGAGCTGCCTTATGTTTTTCTTTTTGTTGGAGCTTCACTCTTGTCCAGGCTGCAGTGCAGCGGTGCCATCTCGGTTCAATGCAACCTCCGCCTCCTGGGTTCGAGCGATTCTCCTGCCTCAGCCTCCAGAGTAGCTGGGATTACAGGCATGTGCCACCACACCCAATTAATTTTTTGTTTTTTTTT